TAACCCTCCCTCTGTTAACAGGTAAAGATCTCAAGTAACCAGCCCCTAATGAATCTGGGCAGTGTTGATCACACGGCCGCCCTGACACGCCCTTTGCCACTGCAGCCCTCTGGCTATTACACGCCTCCTGTAATCATAGGACTGGAGCCCATGTGTACCTTTGTCGGGGGGATCAATGCACCAAAAAGACTCACTCTAAAAACGTCTGATGGGCTACAGCAGTACGAACTTCTGAAGGGGAAAGACGATATCAGGCAGGATGCAGTCATGGAACAGGTTTGTGTTCGTAGGCAGCATGGTTGGGAAAAAGGAATGCATATTACTGTTTTTAGTAATAAGTCTTATGGTTTTTAAGATTTCAGTGGACAATAGTGTCATAATTTATTCAAGGTTTGAATTATTTAAATGAGTATTCAGACTGATATCAGTGTCTCTGAATGATTTGTCTTGACAAACCATATTATTTGCAACCCATTTTGCATGTTCATGTCATGTTTATAAAGTGATGACTATCTATCTATATTTCATGCAGGTATTTGGAATTGTGAACGAACTCCTTGCAAAGAATTCCGAAACTCGGGATCGATCTCTGTCTGTACGCACTTACCAGGTGACGCCTCTTTCTCAGAAGAGTGGTCTTATCCAGTGGTGTAACAACACTCAGGTTAGTAAGGAGGATCAGAGAGAAAGAGTAAAAAAGGAGAGAGAGAAAGCATATCAAAGAAAACATTAAGAGAATTGCATCTCAATTATAGCAAGCTAAAGAGAGTAATAAAAACAAGGGTATCTGTCCATGCAAGTTGAAAATGTGAATAAGATTTAGTGTATTCATATATATATATTTATTTGTAGGCATCTTTTAATGTTTGTTTTTATGTGTTGTTATTGTCTTACACATATTTTAGTAGTAGTATTGCTCTATCACCGACTGTACTTTTTATGATGGTTTACTTATTTCAGGCTTTTGGGGAATACTTAATAGGTCCAAGCAAGAACAGTGGTGCTCACAAACTGTATTATCCCAATGACTACACAGCATCTGTTTGTCGGGAAATGATGGGAAAAGCTAAAGGAAAATCATTGGAAGCAAGATATGAAGTGTTTGAGGTCAGAACTTTGACATTTACAAAGTTTTCTATTTATGCTAATTCTTTTCTATTTCTATTCTTTTAGACGTATATTTTATTGTTATATATGATTTTTCTTGTGTGTATTAGTATTCTACATTTTCAGCCCTCTTTATAAAAACACACTTCATTCCATCTAATACAGTTAATCTTTCATGTAGTGAGATGAAAAAGCACAAAAAGTTTACTTGTCTTACCAAATTCAATTCTTTCAGAAAATCCTGGAGAATTTCCACCCTGTGTTTCGACATTTCTTCTTTGAGAACTACCCATCACCACATGAGTGGTATAAGCGCCGCTTGGCATATACACGGTCAGTTGCCACTAACTCCATGGTGGGCTATGTACTGGGTCTGGGTGACAGGCACGTGGAGAACATCCTGCTGGACAAGTCCACTGCTGAGTTGATCCACATTGACCTTGGCATTGCATTTGAACTGGGCAAGATCCTTCCCACGCCTGAGACTGTTCCCTTCAGGCTCACACAAGTAAGGCTTTGCTTTTTAGTGTATTTGTGTGTTTACTGATTTATTAGATAATTTGATATTGTGTATAAATGTAATGTTTGTGAACAAGCTGCTTATTTTTCTGGAAAATCAAGAAATTTGCTGATTTTTCTTCTTGTCTCCATTATATTATTTGTTTGAATTTTGTTTTGAAGGATTTAGAAGATCCCTTAATCTCTTCATTCCCAGGATGTGCGGGATGGCCTTGGGGTAATGGGGGTAGAAGGACCCCTGCGTCGCTGCTGTGAGGCGACACTCAGTGTTTTGAGAAACTCAGGCGAGGTGCTTGTAACAGTTGTAGAGGTCTTACGTCATGACCCCCTGCACCAGTGGACACTGTCTCCCCACCAAATCGCACGCTTGCAGGAGAACGATGATGAGGATCAGGAACTTGGTGAGTTGGTGGTAGTAACTTGGTACTAAGAATGTTAATTTACTTTGGTGTGTACTTGTATGTGGGTAGCAGTTATATCCATGTTCATATATCTTGAGACAGGCTAAGAATGGAAGTGATTGAAATTTAACCCTTTGTCCAAAGGTGCTTCATGCCATACTGGACTACATGCCAAGCACATGGTACAGTCAGCCACTTGTGTGAAAAATTAATTAAGGAACCACAGGAAACACATAATATCCCATTCTATGATTTTGGCAACAGATTGTACAGTTTTCCAGGCAGCAAGGCTGAAAAGTTACTTCATGCCTTCGTTTGAGGAGCTGTAACTTTGTTATTGCTCCCAGTTGGCATGTACTTATGTGCCATGGGTGTTGTGCACAGAGTAGCAGGTGGCATCTTATCATGACCATTCCCAAACTGGTGGCTAATCGTACCAGCTTCATTTCTATGGTAAAGCTTTTAGGTGATAATATTCTAACATGAAGGTAAACCTTTTTTTTAAATTAATTTTTATTTTATTTTATTATTTTTTATTATTATTTTTTTTTTTGATATATCAAAATAAAAGCTTTCAGATGCTGAATGTCGCTCGCAAACTACCGAATGAGCCAGGCACAAACAGGAAACTTTCGATACACACCAACAACCCCACGCTCATGTTGGCTTCCCAAACTTTTTTACCCAGGGTTATTGGGTTAATGGCCAAATAGGTGGTGGGCATACACTACTTAGAGTAGGCACAAAGTTCTTGGAGGATGATTAGACTCAGTGGGGCTTAGGAAGGGGTTCTTGCATTATTTCCACTAGTAAATGTGTGTGTGTGAAATGTACCATCCATGAGCCATGGCTGGATGAGTGCTGACTCCAGAGAGGACACTATTTTCATACTCAGGATCATATTCCTGCCCCATGTGGCTAGCAGTGCAGATTATGTTACAGAAAATGGAATAATAAAAAGAAAAAATGATAATTGCACAAATAACTAATGTTATTTATTATTATTGTTATTGCACAGAGTTGTAGACTACCTAGAGAGTTGATGCAAGGAAAACAGTCTATTACCATCTTGATACAGCATATCAAGTAATGAATTTAGACTTTGGAAAAAAAAATAGTGCAGAAAGAGAGAATAAAATTGGAAGGGGGAGGCAAGGAGTCTTGACACCCGAAATGAATGATCATGTGGGTTGAGCTTACAAGCCACATACCCAAGATAGTTAAATAAGGATAAGGATAATGCCCAGATTTTGGGCCACACATGGATAGCAAGGCATCTGGCTCATGAGTTATCCCCCCAAGATAATTTGTTTTCTAGGTTTAACTGTTTCAAAGAACACATGTTGACTAACATCAAGATGAGGCATCACTGCATTGTTCTCCAAGAGGAGATGAGGAAGCAAGGAAGGGAATTTCAGTTTGTTTAGATGACTCAGTGTTGACTAGTTTTGCTGCTCTTTTTCCATCAATGTTTTCTGCAGTGTTGAAGTTCAAGAACGGAGAAAGTAAGGATTTCTAGTTCAGCCTGGTTACTAGTTTACTGCTTTCCAAGGGATGGAGATGGGGGGGAAGTGGGCAATAGGATACATAATGAATTAGGTCTACATCCATGTGTAGCTGAAACTTATCTTTTATATGTATAATATAATGATATGAATTATTTATTATAATTTATTACTATAATTAGAACACAGAAGCTTATATAGTATACTTCACATGTTGTTGCCAGAGATGGCATGTGCTAACATGCCATGCCCAGTGCAAGGCTAGTTATTACACAATAAACCAATTATTACTTGGTGGCTAAACTCTTTTGGAGCCATGTATGTGTATTAAACAAAATTGATACTACAGTGAACACCATGCAATTTTCTCAAAACCAAAGAATTTGCAAATCAAAATTCCTATACTCAAAAAGTTACAAACCAATTTCAAATTAGTTTATCAGCATTAAATAGAATACTGAAAACAGAACACTGAAAACAGAACATCCTGTGTTCAGGTTGTTTTATATGAATATGATTAATTTTAGCCCATTCACGACAAGTGAGATTGCTTCTCATGGCGAGACCAGCTCATCATGTCATATAGAAGCTGCTGGAAGATTTACACTAAACAGGTGTTTGCTTGCTTTTATAGGGCTTTGGTGTAGAGCGTGGGATAAATTTTTATTTCCCGCACTTCTATTTTTTTCCATGACGAGCTGACTCTGACTGCCTCCCTGTGTATGATACTTGCAAATAATTAGAAAACTTAATTAAAGTATTACAAAGATTTAAAAATCACAAAAATCCAAAATGTCACCCTACTTGCATTTCTTGACCACAAAATGTGAATGAAACCATAATCTTTGTACCTACACAAGTTAAAATAACATAACATTGTTTTTGATAGCATGCAGGCAGTTCAGAGTTTTGATAGAGAAAAGAATATAAACAGCAAAGAAACTAAGTACTTCTTAAATAAAACAAAACCTGTATTCTGTCTAAGCACAGCTTGATTAGTAAAAAAACTAGCATTTTCACTGATCATCCCTCTTAACCCAGTAGTGCTGAAAATGGTTGTAGCCCATTTGCCCTGTATTAGGTGGACAGACATAGGATGACATACAAACAACTTATAGAACTTTTAGTTTGCCCCCCCCCCCCCCCCCCCCCCCCACCCACCTATGTACCAGGAATAACTGGGTCCTAGTGGCACCATAGAGGCTCAAACTTCAAAAATCTTGATCATTATCTACCTTAGCCCACAGTCCTTGGTTTTTGACAATTCTGCTTATTGGATTATTGAAAGTCTAGAATTAAGCAGAATGTTAATGAGAGGATAAGAATAGCAAAAGAAAAAAAAAGTGGACATGTTTTAAAGGTAAGAGTGTTAAGGGTTTTGATATCTTGGTCTTTTATGATGCAAATTTCCTCTTAACCATCGGTCGTGGATGTGCATCATATGATGCGCAAAGGAGGGAAAGAAGCAGCACCACAGCGCACACTCTCCTGCGCAGTCGCATACACTGCCTGAGTGTAAGATAAATATTGCTGTGGGATTATGCACCATATTGCAAAATACCACTGCCAATGGGTTAAAGTTCACACATTATTGTTCCATGTAAATATAAAGCCAGAAAAGATAAATATTTTCATCTCCTACATATACATATCTTCAGAGAAGATACAGTTCTTTGCAACCTATTTAACAGTCTCTTCTTTTTCTGCTTTAACCTCTAGGATGTACCAGTTCAGCGTCAATGGCAGATCGAGTGGTGCTCAGAGTGCAGCAGAAATTAGCTGGAGTAGAGGACGGCTTTGCACGCTCTGTCCCAGAACAAGTGACATTTCTTATACAGCAAGCGACAGATCTTTCAAACTTGTCAAGGCTGTTCCAAGGATGGCAGCCCTATTTATGATGGTCTTTACCATGGATGTTGAAGTAATATTGGTGTGATTTATGAAGGTGATGAAAATTTTACCCGGTCTTTATTTTGTGATGTTTTGATGCATGATGAAAGGTAAGAAAACATCAAAATTACTATACACTGAATTTCACATGAGTTATATAAATCTCAGTTTTACATTATTATCATTGTATTACTTTATATCTATATTATTAAATTCAAGAGTAATAGAGATCTGTGATACTTCCCAAGGTGAAAAGATACAAATAGTTTCTAATTATTCTAGAATAATCTCATGTAAGTTAATTATTAACTTAGCACCTTTTTTAAAATGTGAATTGTGAAAGGTTAGCTAAAGATTTTATCCCTCACAAATGGGTCCTGTTACGCCTTCACCCAGCATCCACCTGTCCTCACTATCCACATGTATCCTCATATATGCAGTGTCAATAAATGATAAATACATGTCTTTTTTTGTCTCTTTATCATTACTTACAGTATCTGGAAATTGGAACATGTTCTCATAACTCTGAATGCATCAAATATATTGCTTGTCTGTAGGCACTACACCAGTGCCTCTTGCCCATCCATAAGGGATTAAATATCTTTGGTTAATGAGTTTATTATCCATAAATGAAAGAACATATTCCTTGTCTAATCGTATTCATCACTTCCTGATTTCCGACCACTGAATACAATATTCTCTTGCCAAATGTAGGTGGCTAGATTCCACCAGCCTATTTACCAATGAATTCTTAGCTCCTGCATATCACTCTTGTCTGTACCTGCTTCCTGGAGATGATACCCTAGTGCTACTGCAAAACAACAACACACTGCAGCTAGAGTAGAAAAAGTGTAGGATTGTTCCAGTGTCAACTCATGAGTTTTGTGTCATCAAGGTACAGATCCATGGCCATTTGTCACTCACTCACTCTCTCTCTCTCTCACTCTCTATTGTTCTATGTCTCTCTCGTCTCTCTCCTCTCTCTCTCTCTCTCTTCTCTCTCTCCTCTCTCTCTCTTCCTCTCTCTCTCTCTCTTCTCTCTCTCTCTCTTTCTTCTCCTCTCTCTCTCTCTCCATCTCTGCTCTCTCTCTCTCTCTCTCTCCTCTCTCTCTCTCTCTCTCTCTCTCTCTCTCTCTCTCTTCTCTCTCTCTCTCTCTCTCTCTCTTCTCTCTCTCTCTCTCTCTCTCTTTTCTTTCGCTCCTCCCTCTCACTCTTCTCTCTCCTCCCTCTCTCCTCTCTCTCTCTCTCTCTCTCTTCTCTCTCTCTCTTCTTCTCTCCTCTATCTCTTTCTCTCTCTTCTTCTCTTTTCTCTCTCTCTCCTCCCTCTCTCTCTCTCACTCTCTCTTGTCACCTCACTCTCTCACTCTCTCAACCTCTCTCTCTCTCTCCTCTCTCTCGTCTCTCTCTCTCCTCTCCTCTCCTCTCTCTCTCTCGCTCTCTCTCTCTCTCTCTCTCTCTCTCCTCTCTCTCTCTCACTCTCACTCTTCAACTCAACTCTCTCTCCTCTCTCTCTCTCTCTCCTCTCTCTCTCTCTCTCTCTCTCTCTCTCTTCTCCTTCTCTCTCTCTCTCTCTCTCTCTTGTCTCTCTCTCACTCTCTCTCTCTCTTCTCTCTCTCTCTCCTCTCTCTCTCTTCTTGTCTCTACCTCTTCTCTCCTCTCTCTCTCTCTTCTCTCTCTGTCTCACTTTCTCTCTCTCTCTCTCTCTCTCTCTCTCTCTCTTTCTCTCCCTCGTCTCACTCTCCTTCTCTCTCGCTCTCTCTCTCTCCCTCCCTCTCTCCACTCTCTCTCTCCTCCTCTCTCTCTCTCTCTCTCTCTCTTCTCTCTCTTCCTCTCTCTCTCTCTCTCTCTCTCTCCTCTCTCTCTCTCTCTCTCTCTCTCTCTCTCTCTCTCTCTCTCTCTCTCTCTCATCTCTCTCCTCTCCTCTCTCTCTCTCTCTCCCTCTCTCTCTCTCTCTCTCTCCTGCTCTCTCTCTCTCTCTCTCTCTCACTCTGTGTCTGTCTAACTCTCTTGTGCTCTGTCTCTCTCTCTCTTGTGGTCTCCCTCTCTCTCTCTCTCTCGTGCTCTCTCTTCTGTCTCTCTCTCTCTCTCTTCTTTCTCTGTCTCTGTCTGTCTCTCTCTCGTGCTCTCTTTCTGTCTCTCTCTCTTTCTTTTCTCCTGTCTCTGTCTGTCTCTCTCTCTCTCTCTTGTGGTCTCCCTCCCTCCCCCTCTCTCACTCTCTTTTTTCTCTCTCTCTCTCTCTCTCAAATAATCAAAGAAGAGCCATGTGGCAAACATACAAAGTCATTACTGGTCATGAAAAGAGAAATGGTTCACCCCTCAGGTGTAGATATCTAAATGGTAAAACTGTGCCCATGGCTCCCTCAGGCAGTTCAGGACTAAATCCAAAGCCAGTATTTTCTCCTTTCAACATGGCTTTCATATTTTAGGAAGTGAAAAGTGATTAGAAAAGAGAAAGAAGAGGAAGGGGAGAAGGGAAAAGATCATGCAAAACTGATTGAGCTGAGGAATGAGGCCCAAGGTAGGGAAGGTCCCCAACATTGGAGCCTAGTGTTGGGAAACAATAAAAAATCAAGTACTTCCATATAAAACCACTTTTATTAAGCAACCCAAATTTTGTTGAGATTTTACTTTCAAATTGTTTGAATTTTACATACATTAAACTTTATAAAGAAAATAAGACTAAGTACAAATTTTCATTGGAACCAACATAAGAATAAAGGAATGTCTACAACAAAGTTAAGCAAGAAGCAGCAGAGTAACCATGGATTACATCCTAATTATTATATTAAACAGTATTCTAAAAAATAATCTTAAACCAAAGCAACAGCATATGCAAATAAAATCTGGTACCACTGCTAACCATTAGTGTGTCGATGATAACCATAAAGAAAGGGAGGAAGGGAGAAGTCCATTTGTGCTCTTCTAGTCTCCACAACTTTTAACGTCATACTTCTCAATCACACTTAGAATTTGGTTATCACTTCTCTTATGCGAATTCATTATATGTAATAAAAAATAACCATAATATTTGAAGATGACTTCTGAAGTACTTTTCTCTTTAGTGTAAATTTCCTAGCTCATTTTCACAATGAATTTCTGAGCACAATGAACATATAAAATCTGTTTGTTTTTATTATGAGAGTAAATTTCATTATATACAAATGATATGCATATGTAAATGTACTGAAGGAAAGAGAAGAAGGAATAGAGAGATTTAAAAATAATAATCATAAAAAGAAAAAAGACAGAATACCATGTGTGATTTTGCATGTTCATATAACTGTGTGTATATATACTGTATGTTTAGAACTTACAAAGGTACAGAACATCTTTCAAAATCATGATATTTAGCTCCTTGTAAAAGAGCAATGGCAATAATAATATGCTGTTATTATATCTGTTCCATAACACTTAAGTATTGTCAAACACTGAAATTATTATAAATCTGTTTATAACATTCCTTGAACACCTTAACATGCTTCTTTTGCTACATTACCACCAATTGCAGAGGTACTCAACTATCTTTACGAATGATTTGCAACAAACTCAGCACACGGCATTAATACTGTCAGTCAGACCTAGGTCAAAGCTAGGTATCATGGTACTGGAAGCCCCATTTTGAAATCAATCAAAACAATTCTTGTTACCAATTACTGTTGAATGGTAGTTGTGCCACACTTTATTGATGATGTGCATCAACATTTGAGCATATTAAGACATGAAATTGTTGCCAAAGATCTTCTGTTTATGAACAGTGTCTGCTTTTTGAGTATCACACAAGCATCTGCTGTTCTGGGGAATATGACATCAAACTAGGCAAAAGTCAAAATACTCCTTTCCCACCTTAAATATCATATGCAAATTTCATACATCATACTCTCATATAATAGACCTGCTGCCAATGAAACATACAATGATACACTGTAGTTTTTTCATAAATGGGTCATTACTATATGCCTGTATGAAAGAATGTATTCCTGTGTATTTATGTTCATGTATGATTATTTGTGCTTGTAAGTGTCTATACGCATGTATAAGCATGCGTTAATGCATTTGTGCATGTTCATCTGTATGTTTATGTAAAAATAATATTGATAATGACCTGGAGATAATATTGCTATCATGCATCCTTTTCTGGCAAGTTGTAACCTTCTCACCACTTCTGGACACTTTATCTATTAACTTTAAAAGAATAACACCAAAAAAGATGAAAGTTTCAGTCACAAATAGTGTGAAAAACATTCAAACTTGTAATTACATTTTTAGGACCACATATACATCATATCTTGGAAAAAAACAACTATGAAGTGTTTTAAAATCAAGAAGGATGTAATTGTTCAGAGATAAAAAAGGACACAAGTGCTTCCTACATTATGTTTTGCTAGTGATCTCCGACACATAATATACCAATACTCTATTTTGTGAGAGTGAGAGAGAAAATTAAGTTGCACACAAGAAACAGCTGAATTCCACATACCCTTAATTAGACACACTGATAATAATAATGTCTAAAAAATATACAAGACAACCTCTCCTTGGCAGATCCCAGTGATTAACTTCAATATGAAACAATAAATTTATTTCTTAGCAAGGTAGACAGCTGTTCCTCCCAGTTTACTTGTTTTTCTTAAATTTCTTCTTACTGGGTCACTTGGAATGGGAAAACTGCCAAGTCTTGAGCTTCTCATCATCACATATTCAATTACCTGCATTCACTCACTGCAGGTTATGATGAACTAACATCACGTGCTCTATTTTTCCTCTTTGTCTAATGAGCAATCTTCTTTTTTACATATATATTTCACAACTCTGACCTGAATGTCTTTAAAAAACAAAAACAAAACAAAACATGAAAAATATCATACGTACATATGTTATGCTAGGTTATTCTACGCCTCCTTTTGAGCTCTTCAGTCAGCAAGACCAAATGTGGTTCACAAATAAAATCTGGGCTCTAGATCAAAAACCTTCCCGAGGTATGATTTTGCTGAACAAACCGTAAAGCACAGTGGACTACACTGGACTCATTGGAACCACAAAATCAATGGCAAAATTAATGAGGAAATACACTTGACTTTATCTATTTCCCTGATGAACATTAATTGTAGATTTGGAATACAAGTTACAAGTGGATCTTGAGTCATACTGTGCACTTTTGTCACACTAAGTACAGCCTTTTTAAAAAATATACCCATTTAGGGATTCATCCAATAATGGTCTGCAATATGTCATTCATACATAAGCTTTTGAATCATAACTAATCCAGAATGCATAAAAACTACTAAACCCTGTCCCCTTTGTTCAGAGCTAACTTTTTTCTTTTTTTTTTCTTTTTTTTTTAAATAACCAGGCTAATAGGTAAAAGGCAACTTCATTACACTCTTTCCCACATCATTTAAACCAGCTATTCTACATGCATTTTGTCCTCGTCTTATAAACAAAACCAATTGCCCATTCAAACTGTCAACCTCGCATCTTCCAAACTGCTGGATCCATTTTACAGCCTTAACAAAGAGGGTAATACCTTCTTTTATATTTTTACATAGCTTAAGAGTCCACAGAGTGGGGCACTGCCTTCATATATATATATTTTCAATTTTTTTCACTATAACTATTATGCAGCTATGCAGCCAACACATCCTCTGTGGCTTCTGGTGAGGGGGACATGGGAGAAGAGCCCACTCTCCTGTAGGACGCCCACCGCGCATCATCCGATTCATGAGTGATGTAGCGGATGCCCACTATCCTCTCCAGCTCACGGAGGTCACACCAGCACTGGTAGTCCTGCAGCCATACATGAGCCAAGGACTTGTCCACTGTGAGGCGTTTCCTCTGTTTCACTTGTAAAAGGTTGTTGATAAGATCAATGGCTGAAAAAAGCAAAAGCAAAAATCAGTCATTAACCATCATACATGGAATCATCAACATGCACTGGTGCCATCAGTTGTCCCTTGACTCTTTAGGCAAACAGACAACATCTTTAGGCAACTGTGAGAGAGAGAGAGCGAGAGGAGAGAGAGAGGAGAGAGGAGAGCGACGAGAGAGAGATGAGGAGAGAGAGAGAGGGAGAGAGAGAGAGAAGGAGAAGGAGAGAGAGAGGAGAGGAGAGAGGAGGAGAGAAGAAGGGAGGAGGGAGAGAGAGAGGGGAGGAGAGAGAGATGGGAGGGAGAGGGAGGAGGGTGAGGGAAAGAGGGGGAGAGGGAGGAGAGGGAGGAGAGGGAGAGAGAGGGAGAGGAGGAGGAGGGGACGGAGGGAGAGGAGAGAGGGATGGGAGAGAGAGAGAGGAGAGAGGGAGGGAAGGAGAGAGAGGGAGAGGGGGGAGGAGAAGGGAGAGGAGGAGAGGGAGCGAGAGAGATGAGAGAGAGAGAGAGAGAGAGAGAGAGAGAGAGAGAGAGAGAGAGAGAGAGAGAGAGAGAGAGAGAGAGAGAGAGAGAGGGAGGGAGGGAGGCGAGGAGGGAGAGGGGAGGATGAGAGGGAGAGGGAGACGGGAGGAGGGAGGGAGGAGAGGAGGGAGGGGAGGGAGAGGGAGAGAGAGAGGAGGGAGGGAGGGAGAGGAAGAGAGAGAGAGAGGAGAGAGAAGGGAGAGAGAGAGAGAGAGAGAGAGAGAGAGAGAGAAGAGAGAGAGAGAGAGAGAGAGAGAGAGAGAGAGAGAGAGAAATCTGCTGGACAAAATCCCTTATGACATCCCAATATTTTATGAAATGTGCTCCTTTGTCTTCCCCTCTCTCTATCTTTTGTTCTTTCATTCCTCCCTTGTCTTCCTCTCTTACTCTGTCTCCTTTATCTTTCCCTCTCTCTCTCTCTTGTTTGGCTGTTCAGATAAGAGCAGCCATATATATCTTATAAACTCAAACACACATTAATATTTTGTTATGGTGAATATCATTTTGAGCATACCTCATTTCCCACATTATAGCTTGTATGCATGCATGCACATACACAATTCTAAATGCTAAGAAGCCAAAGGGACTCACCGTCTTGTGTGATTTCCTTCCAAGGGTTTGGGGGATACATGAAAGCTGCATTCTGAATTTGGTCATTAATGTCCTCGTCCTCGTTGAAGGGGAAGGTGCCCGAGAGAGAGACATATGTGATCACTCCAACAGACCACATGTCCAGGGACCTGTTGTAACCTTTGTTGCGCAGGACCTCAGGAGCTGCAAGGAGTCCAACATCAGGTTTTGGTTCCTTTTGTTTGACTTTCCTCTTTTTATGTACATAGAGGTCTACAGTTTGATTATTTTGTGCTATCTACCGTAAGGCATCTTATTTTGTAAGTCAATATGTTTCAGAAATGTAATTTTTTGGTAATTATCAGCCTAGAATTTTAATCATACAAAGTATGACATCCAATTATCATCTATAATACCACTGTGACTCTCCTTTTATTTATGCAAGAGTACAAACAAAACCAAAGCCCCACACATTAACATTCACAGACATAGATATGCTGGCATTCCATCAGATTTGGGTTAACACTGACATACCTAAATATGCTGGTGTTCCAACCACAGATCTTCTGAAGGACTTTTCTCCAATGATGCGAGCAAATCCAAAATCACACAACTTAACCTGAGGGAAGTCACTGTCTGTGGAGAGCAGAACATTTTCTGGCTTCAGATCACAGTGAACAATGTTCTTGCTGTGGAGGTGTTTCAGGGCAGCCAAAATCTGAAGAAAAACAAGAACAAAGATACATTACACATGCACTATCAGTTTTTCATTCACATTTTACTAACGGTTTGTAACAGTTCCTAAAAGCTGCAATCCATAAATCCAAACTTACAAGTATATCACAGTATATATTTATCAACACTCAATATAACCAAAATGCAGAAACCTCTAAAAAAGGTAGAAATAAAACAAAAATTTCAATCTACCTCACCTGATAGATTAGGAACTTTGTGATACGCTCGGAAAGCTTTCCCTGATCCGAAGACAAAATCATATCCAGCATGTCGCCCTTCAGCTTCTCCATCACCACGAAGATTCTTTCAGGTGTCTCAAACATACGCTCTAAGTTGACCACTCCCTGTGAACAAGGATATTAACCTCTTAAGGGGACAATCCCTAAATGGGGGGGGGGGCATATTTGGGGGATATGGGAAGTAAAATTGATAAAATATTAAAAAAAAAAAAAAAGTCTTAAGGATTTTCTTGATTTTTGGACATTTTATGTACTTTCATATTCCACACATTTTGATACTGAATTTATGGGGGTTCCTACGTGTGGGGCGGTGTCCCCTGCAAAAAGTTTTTTCATTATTTTTTTCTTGCGTCAAACAAAAAGTTGGATATTTGAAGATCATATTTTATATTTTCTCATTTATGGATCTTTACCATTTCATTACTGTAGAAACTACTATCATTTTTCTTTCAAACGCATTTTGTTAAGTAAAGATATGATCATTAGTCACCAAGTTATAGAAACAAACAAACAAATGACTCCCGTGAAAAGGGGCAAATCCAGACCCAGGACAATATGACCGTTATATAAAATCAGTTGTTTCGTATTTTATAACTCTTTTATTACTGTATTCTTTTGTAAACATTCGTTTACATGTATACACGCATGTAAATTATTGTAAAGGTATATGTTTGTGCACATGTATATGCATATATGCGAATATACCCATTAGATCCATGATTATTTATTTAATTTATTTATTTTCTTTTTATACCAGTCAACTCTTCTTCCACATCGTCTAACCACGTGATTTCGCCTCAAAACAAACGATAAACGTTTAGTCACGAGTGGAGTACTTGTTATGGAGGGACAATAAATTGTTTCTTGTTTGTTAGAAATAGCCATTCAGAAAACGTTGATATATCAAAAACATTTTGAAATAAAAATCCTATATATTTGTTTATTGTGGTTGCTTCATTTTGTGATGTAACAATAGGTATCAGATATTTGTTGGCCGATTTTGGGTTTACACGAAAAAATTATATCATACTCCTTCTTTAGATTTATTTTTTTGTAGAATGGATTTGTAATGACATAATGATGTTAATTAGTTTCAAATGAGAGCGCATATGTAAAATCATTGGAACTTTTACAGCTGGATCCCTCCGAGACAGACCTGAAGCGGGCGAGCGCCCAGCCCGTGTAAATATCTATTCGTTATGAGTTTAATTTTGGAGATACAGACTTGTAACTGCTCATGTATTATCATTGAACCCTAAACATACTTGTATGATGAATATGTCAAAATTGAATCATATCTACTATATTTTATAGGAAAGAAATTTGAAAAGTCACATAAGGATTTTTTATTTTTCTTCAATTTTCATATCATCAATCTTTCACTTTGGGATAAAACTGTTATAATAAGACACTTTCATCTTCCTGTGATCCATTTCAATAGGTAATGTCATTATACAATGCATTATTTTCACTTCTGTAACGCATGAAGGGAAACAAAATGTCAAATGTCCTATAAAATCATTAACCCATTTACGACAGGTGTCCCATATATAAGACGCCCGGAAAAATAAACATTGCCGGTCGTCCTGCCAGCGTGATGTTGGATCAGAGCTCGCACTCCAAATACCTCACGGGCCAAGACCAGCACGCAGGCAGATTCTGGGCTGGCCCCGCACACCAATTTTGTAGCCACCCAGAAAATATTATTTTTGGTCTCAAAATATACTGGTGTTAGTGGGTAAAGAGCCCTTCTCCGTTCAGTCAAACTCACCGGGTTGCTAAGATTCTGCAAGATGGCCACCTCATTCTTCAGGGCAGCTTCCTGTTTGGTGGGGAACCGAAGCTTGTCGATTACCTTGATGGCCACAGCTCTTGACGATTTGCGGTGAACACCTGCACAGAGGAAATAATATTCTAATATGTTCTATTGACTTCCAAATTATATGGAATGTTTTTGAAAACTTTAAAGAACTTTTTTTCATTAAATAATTCAAAATCACCTTTAAAAAAATTACTAATCCCTGTACTGTGGTAAAACCAAAGTAGCTCATTTCATCTACAAAAAGAATCTCCTACGTTCCCACAACAAGATACTCCTATTTTGTAATCAAGCTTTTTTTCTCCCTTCCCTGAGCATCCCTCCCTTACCTCCATACACAATGCCGAACTGTCCTGATCCCAAGACCTCATCAGGGAAGATCTGGTAGATCTGTGAAATGTCATTGCAGGTGGCCTCCTCCTTGTCCATACCCACTTGCTGTGGGTGTGTGGGAGTGCTGCTGGCCTGTGGCGTCACAGGCATCAGGGCCTTGCGAATCTCATTCTCCCAAACCTGTAGGGTAGTGGTGGGTTAAGTGGTTGAAACAGTGATAATGATAATGATGATGATGATGATTTCATTACTATTACTTAAGAGTATTAAAAGAAATAATGAAAAATGGTCACGTTATTATGAATATTATTAAAAAACGATTGGCAATACTTGTAACACTATTCATGTTAATAATACATTTTTAAAAATATCAATATTAATACCTGCAATAACATTTACTATCAAAATAACAATAAATACCAATTTCCTTATGAACAATTCTAAGTCAAAAAAAAGAAAGAAAGAAAAGAAAAGAAAGAAAGAAAAGAAAAGAAAGAAAGAATAGAAAAGAAAGAAAAAAAAAGCAATACTAATCATTAGCCCAATTATTTCTTGTGTCCTTCTTTCTATTAACAATACCCTATACCAACCTTTGCTAGGTATAGTCCAATACCACTCTCTGGGGGATTGACAACTGGTGTTCCATCCTTCTTGCCTATGGGCTCCTCTCCAACATAGTAATCGACATTAGCTGTGCGGAGCTCAAAGCAGTGTATCACTCCCCTGCTCACATCTGTTTGCAGAGGAAATGGCAAGGCTCATTACGTGGTTATAATTTTTTAACCAAAAAGTCTGAACCGCCTCAACTGAGCACATCCACAAATTACACCATCGGCCAAGTCCCCTAAACAAAGGATCAGCATTTAAAAACTGGCAAGCTGTTCCCCTGCCTCTATTCCACTGTGACTCAGTGGAATAGGAGCATCCCTCCACATATCCCAAAGCCTTCTACCTAACTGGGTCCTCTCCTATGCATCTGGGTGGCCTCTTCTCCCACCCTTAAACTCCTCCAACCCATCAAAGAACTCTACACTTATTTTCCAATTCCATGACCCAACCTCCTCTCCCATGGTCCTTCCCCAAAGACCACCTCCTCTCCCTTCACAGTCCCCTCCTAGCATGACTGAGCTATGCACTATATATGGTATATGGATATATGCTTTATTACAATGTATGCATGAGATTTCTATCCTTTAAAAACTTTTCCCTATTTCTTTACGATATATGTGGTAACTGATTTATAACTAAGTAACTATTTGAAATACCATCAAGAGAAACATCTGGTGTGTAACCTCAAGTTCTTCAAATAATAAAGATCAAATATGATCCTCATTAAAGCTGAAAGTTTGGTATCATTATTGTGTGGGATGAGGTGGAGGAGCATGGGCTACAGAACTGCAGTTCTTAGGGATTGAGAAACCATGATGTTTAAACATTCAAGGCGTGGGGAAATATATCATGGAGGTAAATAAAGAGGTTCAGGGTCTGGAAGTGCTTGTTCCAGGAAATGAATTGCTATCCCCCATTTTATACTCTCAAAATGTAGGTAATGCCTCTTTTAGATGTAACTCTTAGATAAATTCCTATTCCAATTAGCTATACCATCTACTCTTCTAAACCCACCACTTGTAATAATCGGGATCCATATCTGTACACGACTGGAATAAGCTGACAAGATAGGTTCCATGATTTTCTAATTCAAAATAATTCTAAAGATTATCTTAAAAAAAGGGAGAGAAAATAATAGGAATAAATTAACATATACAATACTGTCCACCAAACCCAAGACCCTAAAAGACCTGACCATACCTGCTGGCTGCGCCTGTTTTGCTGTTTCTATGTTGAGCACCTCAGAGAGCTGGATGTCCTTGTAGTACTTGGTGCTGGTCTCATTCTGGTACAGAGTTATGCTCTTCGTGTCTAGTCGCCAGTAGTGCCTCTTGCGCTGCGATGTGAATTGGTCTCATTTTAAATTTCTCATGCTCCCTCATCAACTCTAATGACCTAAGCTGCCTTTATATTCTTAAGATTAAAAAAAGTCTTTGTATAACCTAGACTAATCAGACATTCATCACAACACTGTCAGTCTTACAACTTTATTCACAGTATGAAGAGATTGTCATGCACAAAATAATTGAACTGGCACACTTTTACTTTCAAACCTTAACCTTTTTTTACTCGTACTTTAAAACATGCCCACTAAACTACAAGATCACACCAAAAAAAAGAAAAGAAAAAAAAAGTCTATCTAAATCATGAGAATAATCCTGCTCATTATCCCCAAGAAACTATTGCCTGTCTTACCATACTGTCTTTGTTGGTGAAATGGACCATCCAGCCCTCTTTTAGCACCTTCGACGGCCTTTTGGTGTGCTTGACCGATTGCACGATTCTCATCAGCGGAATGTTGTTACTTGATGATGGACTGTAATGAGAAATGAAAAGCACAACTTGCGAGATGCAGTCACTCTTTCCTGACCCTTCAGATAACCATACCTTAGACTAAAAAAAAGTCATGGACAGGATCTGACATTGGGAACTTTTGATTTATGCCAAACTCAAAAACTCATCTGAAATAAAGAAACAGGAAAACTCCATAAACAAAATTCAAATGACAGCTCGATTACAGTTGCAAGATTTCAACAAAGTCCCTGGCCTCACCTGTCTGGCCCTCGTCCAACCACTGGCTCATCATCTACCACATCTCCATCTGGGGGTGAGTCTGTATCACTCTCCTCATCCGCAGGAACGTCAGAACCTGTATCGCCATCCTCGCCTGAAACGCCATCTGTGTGAGACAGAGGGGAGATATTTGGTGATGAGAGAGAGAGAGAGAGAGAGAGAGAGAGAGAGAGAGAGAGAGAGAGAGAGAGAGAGAGAGAGAGAGAGAGAGAGAGAGAGAGAGAGAGAGAGAGAGAGAGAGAGAGAGAGAGAGAGAGAGAGAGAGAGAGAGAGAGAGAGAGAGAGAGAGAGAGAGAGAGAGAGAGAGAGAGATTTAAAGATTTAGTTTTAATTCCATTTGTTACAATGGATATTCTTTGCTGTGACATACTGTCTGTTTTATTTTGCCCAAATCTCCCCGTGTGCAAGGAATGGCCGGGCTTACCATTCACTGGCTGGGCATGGGATTGAACGCAGGTCTAAACCTAACCTAACCAGCACCCTTACCGCTGCGCCAGCACAGCACCAGACAGAGAGAGAGAGAGAGAGAGAGAGAGAGAGAGAGAGAGAGAGAGAGAGAGAGAGAGAGAGAGAGAGAGAGAGAGAGAGAGAGAGAGAGAGAGAGAGAGAGAGAGAGAGGAGAGAGAGAGAGAGAGAGAGAGAGAGAGAGAGAGAGAGAGAGAGAGAGAGAGAGAGAGAGAGAGAGAGAGAGAGAGAGAGAGAGAGAGAGAGAGAGAGAGAGACTGGAAGTTTTTAGTACTTGTTACTTCATATACTCTAATGGCTTTTGGACCAGCAAGGATAATAATCAGTCAACAGCCTTGCCATTGTCTTCTGTCTCCAATAGGTTTGACAGTATTTTCTTTTATGTAAATTGTAATGCATTTCTGCAGGATAACTACTGCTCTCAACAGCCTGATCAGTCTTCTCTCAGTGATCTGGGCATAATGGATGCATTATTATTTTTTCTTTTTCTTCTTCCTTTTTTAAGTACATCTTTGACAATGGTCAATAAGGAACATACATAATAAAAAAACAAATAGATAAAAAAAATTATTAAAGCTTTACCTTTCTTCGGCGCTTCCCCTGTGCAGTCTTTGGGGACTCGCTCTGAACACTTCTTGTGTGCATTGAACTTGCAGTCCTTACATTGCACACCTTGCCTGAATAACCCTGAGGAAAGGAATGTTTCATTACAGACATGCTTTATAGCAACAACATTGACTCATTTCTGTCAAAATGATAATAGAACTATCAACAGAGAGAAAGAACCTAAAATTCCATATAGCATGTTAAACAACTGAATGAAAGTAAGTTAAAGATAACATTAATGAAGAGATATTTAACACACATCTGGGATTCTTAGCCATGTTCATGGATGCGTTTCAGGGGTCTGTGTATATCAGATAAAAACTTTTTTTTATTGTCTACTTTGAAATTTAACAATATTTTGTGTACCTCATATATGTATGAGCCAATTAAATCTCATTAAATAAATAACATTGTACACCTTGCATGCAAAGTTGTGTTTATATGAATATTTCTGTGGAAGGGGGTCCATAACCTTCATCAGATTCTTAAAGATGTCCGTGACTCTAGAATGGTTCGGAACCTCTGACACTGACAAGAAAAGATATGTATTCATAAAAATGAAAATGAAATATAAGACAGTAAGAGAATTTTCCACCTTTAACTTCTGGTTTCCATGCCAGAGGGGTGGCATGGGGGTAATAAAAAAGGGGAGGAAACAAAAGAACAAATTAAAAATAAAATAAAATAAAAAACTATTAAAGAATTAAGATGAAAATAAAGAGAAAGAAAAAGATAGAATACATACA